CCCAGTTCTGGCTGTATTTCACATGTAGACTTCCTGGGGACTTCCCAATTTTAGGGACTTTGACCTCTCAAACTTTGCGTCTACTCTCCACATCTGGTACTTCAATTAATCTTTAATTTCTCCCCTTAAACCGAACACTGCAGGTGGCAGATGAGGGCTAACCCAGACTTTAAGATCTCCCTCTTGCGGTCACTGCTGTTACAGAGAAACGTAGAGTTCACTGAAAAAAAACGTACCTAAGCAAAGCATCCAACTTAATGGGAAGAAAGCCATTTCTGAACTGAGAAAGTCCAGAAAAAAGAATACTTTATTTTGCCTAATGTTCAAGTTATACCACAGACTGGACTACGAAAGCTGAACTCATTCTAATATTGAATAAATGATTTCATTAAATAGCAAACCTAATCTAATAGTAATAACTGCTCGGACAGCGAACGTTCGCACTGAAGGAAATTCATTGATTTTCATGGGCGAGTTATCCAAGATTTTGGTAACTGTTCGCTAGACTACACACCCTAAATGTAATGCTTTCCAGGTCATGCACTGCATCTCCTGTTAGAGAAGGAGATGTTTAAGCATGTCTGCGATATAAATCATGGGCAGGATACAAACTAAAACACACGCATACACATATATATTTTTTTAATATGAAATCCTGTTTTCAGAAAGACAGCAGTTGAATCTCATCACAAGAACAGATGGCTGGAAGAGCTTCTTCTAGATCACAGTGCGGTACACCTACAGGCCTTTCTGCTTGATTTCTCATTTGTTGGATATTCTGGAAGTAACATCTTTTGTAAGATGTATAATGAGCTACCCAAATAAGGGATATCTGTTTCCCTGGAAATCTGCGTATTTCTGCATCTGGGAGAGAAGCGGCATCCAAAATGAAGCCAGATTTTTTTCTAACTACCTGCAAATTGAACTGTCCCTCAGATTACTAGTTCAGAAAAATGAGTGTGTCATTCATTCATTTCTGGAATCATAGCAGGTGCTGACCGCAAAGGACTAACGGCCGAGATAAAAACGACAGGAACATCTATTTCTGTCCGCAGCTGGTACGGACTGTAGTGCTTAACAGCTCTCGTACATCACCTGTCTGGGCTAGGAGGCTCAGGGCTTCCAAAATACCTCGCCAACTGGTTCACAGCATAGACAAAATATCTATGTTCCTTCTGCTATATAAACTAGAATAGTTTAAAGGAAATATTTGTAGAAAAAGAGACGTGCACTCGTGTTTCGTTGCACAGGTACCTGGCAGAGACGTTTGTCGTGAAGGAAACGCATTCATTAACAAATGTCAGTGGTGTTGTTCCAGTGATGTCTTCCCATTGGGCAGGGGTGGTTCCTCCTGAAATGGTTATTTAAAAAAAAAAAAAAAATTAAAACCAAGCAAGTCTGCAACTTTCTTGCTTCTAGGAAATATTTTACATTCTTCTGACTTTTTAAATCCTATGAAACCAGTAATAATCCCAGACATGCCTTCTCCTTAGCTCCACGTTATTCCACTAATGCTAGTAGGATTGTATGGGTTTCCCCTGAGAAAACAAAGCGCCCAAATGATTTTCAAATGATGAGTCCTGTCGCACAACTCCAGAAATGTTAAAAGAGGCTAAAATTTTGGGGGGAGAGATGTAATTTATTAGAAATTGTTCGTTCTAGACTATTCACATACACGGGGCAAAACTGGCCCAGATATAGCGCAGTTAAACCTATATTGTTACACCGTGGAAACAATAACAACGATACTAATCGTGACAACTACAATGTACGATTTCTATAATCTACCTCTTTTTCAAATAATTCAAAGATTCAGGTCCACTACGTACATAACCAAGAAATTTCTTTTGCACGTCGCTATGAAAACCTGTGAAACCATCCGCGTCTGACAAGATCTTGGGAGTTGAAACGTGCACCCCCAGATCATGCTGTACTACGGACAGCCTTCCGGATTCCTGCCGCTCTATTCAGTGTTTCAGTCCTCTCTGGCACGGATGCTTTGGCTTCCTATTTGGCCCACGCAGCTGAAAACGGGGGCACAATCTTCACCTTTTGGTGAAGAATATCCAGTTGGTTTCCAGCTACCTTAAAATCGCACGGAGCTTACGTAAAACCAGAAATACAAGCGTTTCTTTCTAACAGCAGGTATGAACATTTCTAACACACGTATGCAGAACTAAAGGAAAAACTATGCATAATCAGGGCCAGGTCAGAATGCGGGTCTGTCGCTCCCCTCGCATACAGCTGACTTGTGAAACAGCCATTTGACCGTGTAGCCCAGTCTTTACGCAAGCCTTAAACCAAGCTGTATCCGTAAAAGAATACTAGTTTTCAGGAAATACCTCCTTTCTCCTTTGGGTGAAGCATTCTTGGAACCAATTTCCCTTTTGAAGTTTTCTAGCGGATCCTTGCAGATTTACTGTCCCTCCAAGAAACTTACTCAAATTCCTCTTTATAAAGGAGAGCATTCTTCTCTATTTAAATAAATGTTGTTTCACTCTCTTGGAAGTGCAAATATTTTTTCTTGACCAGATGTTGCTTCTGGTATTTCAGCACCTAACACCTTTATATCAAGAAATTGTAAAAGCACCTGTTCTCTGGAATGACTCATTGGCACATCTCAGTGCGTCATGCATCTGACATTGGGTTGGTATGTGAAATCAGGTTGGAAATGAAGATGCTAACTTTTAAACAGAATAAATGTACGCAGCTCATTTCTGCCTCTTAACCGAGACTGAATTTGACGCTGATCTCTTTGGAGTTCTAGCAAGTATAAAGTGTTTAACTCTAATATTTTCCTCTGAAGCATACCGCAATGTTACGTCTGTATTACACTCACCCTGCTAGGCAGAGGTATGCTGGTTCTCAAGAAACAAACTGTAAAGAAAATGCAAAAAAAACCCCCAAACCCAAAGTCTATGCTTATATCGCACATTTCTTGTTAGTCCAAACAACAAATGATATTTCTGCTATAAAGTAATTGTTTGGAAAGTGGTTTATTCCCACAGCCTCTCATCCCAGCCAGGTTTTCACCGAGCTTTCCGTGTGTATAATCAGTTCAACATATTCAGCCCACGGTGACTGCCAATTTCAAGACGTGCATAAAAAGCTCTAGTATTTGCATCTTACCTGTTATGCTGCATAGTAACCTTAAAGTGGGTGTGTCGCCTCCGTAACCGTTCATGACCCCATCACTGGAGGCCTTGGGAACGGGAATCGTCATGGTGATGGGTTTATGGAACTTCCTTCTCCTGGGCTCCAGCGTGACTATAGGACTGAAGGTAGCCTTGTTGCCTAAAATCTTCTTTATAAGTTCAGTATGCATAGGTTGAGCCTTTCCAAAGCAAGAGACAGTAACAGAATAGTTACTTGAGAACAGTTTAAGGAGTATGTAAAGAAGTGGGTCTCTATATTTCCCCGAAACCCTTATGTTTTTACACTAAATGGCACAATTTCCCATGAAAACCTGCAAACAGAAGAACTGACTGCCAGTGAGAAGGGGAGACCTCCCTTTTTCAACTTTCCCACGCCTTCCTCCTCTTCCTATCCCCTTTCTTGGCACTTGTCAGACCCTTTACAGAGTTAATTTAATTCACTTAACCAGCAACAAATACTTCCCTTCTCACCTTTTTTTTTTTTTTTTTTCTCCCTTAGAACAAGCTCTGAGCTATTTTAGCAAGCTACGGAGCTGTTCACAGGGGAGTTCGACAAGCACGGCCTCCTGGCCAAGGTCAGCCGTGGATGCATGCAGCGGGAGGAGGGGCTGGAGGTAGGGGAAAGGCTTCCCCCTCTTTCGGTAGTGAACTGTTGGGCTGGTTTACTTCACGCTGAGAATCTGTACGTTTGACCTAGTTATTACAGCACGTTGTACTTCTCTGATGCCTTGCATAAGAAGTATTTAAGAAATCCTTCTACGACCTACCCTAACGTCATCATCATCACCAAAATTCGGTGGCAAAAGAAAGAAAAAGTTAAGCCTCCTAATTGTTTCATTGTACCTGGAGGCCAACGCGAATTCGTTTGGTTAGAGCCCCTTCTGGGAAGACTGCCTGCACTTGTGGTACCACAGTGCTGCTCAGCACACCTCCCTCAGGTCCGATAAGGTTGCTGTCCTGTTTGATCCGGGATACCACCGCAAAGTACTGAGGGAAATCTCGGGTGATGATGCGGCAGATACGTTTCTTCTCGAGCTCCTCTGGAGTGTCAAGTACTGAGGCCAAAAGAGACGATGGTCAGAAGACAAGAATTTCGGAGAAACAATACGGCAAACTTCAAAATGCTTTTCACATTTAACTGCAACTCACAAAAGCGTTTTGTCTAGAAACCAAAGGGGGAAAGGAAACACGCCCCAGCATTTCTAGTTCAGCTAAACCAGAGAAACCAAGAAAGGAACAGACGGATAGACTGAACAACTAACTGAAGGGAGCTTAGGACGGCAAACTCGGAACAGGTTGACAACATCCCCAAAATGAGCAGGCAAACAAGCAAAGGGATTGGTCCGAGCCCCTTTCTACTTCACAGTTTAACACTATGGCTTGGAGCAGCATCAAGGGAACTAAACTCCAAATCAAAAAAGTATCAAAGTATGAGTTGAGCTGTAAGGACGTGAGTTGGCTCGTTTACTTTTGTGTTTTGTTTTGTGGTTTTGCTTTTTTTAAAAAAAAAAAAAAAAAAAAAAAAAAAAAGCCATCAAAATTAATAACAGATTCTGTAGATCCTAGCCAGCCCAAGGCCATTCTGTTCTCTCAGAAAGCAGGAGTACCCATGACTGACAATTCCTCCCACACCCATAGCTGCTTGGAAAGGATTAGTATGATAATTGCCTTGTTTTGGAAAGATGTTTGCTATGGAAGCTTTTTGTTTAACACTATGAAAAGGAGCAGCAGAAAGCACAAGTCTAGCATCTATTCTCCACTTCGTGACGGGAGATTTTGTTTCGTCCCGCTACTTCAGCAGACCGTGCGAGGGAAGTAAGCACGAGTGCACAGTGATTCTGTGGCTCCTGTACCGAGAACACGATTATGCTCCAGTGTGACCAAAATGAAGTATCTGGAGAATGTAGCGTCAGAAATTCTAGGTCAGACCAAACATGAGGTGCTAAATACAATAAATGATAAAAAGCTATTACCCCCAGTTACAGAAGTAATGCAGGAGGAGAATAATAAAAATAATAATAATAAAAAAAAAAGTCAGACTAGATACCTTCATCCATCCCATTCAAGATTTCATTCAGTTCGTCCTCAGTGTATTCACAGAAATGCTCCTTCCAGCTGTCCCCGTTCTCACTGCGCAGTATCACCAGCTCTCTCTCCTTCCCACGCAGAGCAGCAAAATGGGGAATCTCCACAATCACAGGCCTGGCACAGCAACACAGCGCATTAAATGCACACGGGAGAGAGGAAGAAACAGGATTAACAGCAACTCTACTCGGTCTGCTACAAAGTGACCTGGAATTCTACCTATTGCGCTGGAATACTTTGGCATAATCCTAAACTAGTCGGTCACTAACACAGATTAGATTTTTACAGGGACCCAGTAAATGCTGAAGGACAGATTAAAAAGTGCATTCACCTCTTTCCACAGTGTGAATGATCTTTGGTAAGATAATAGTGCTTCGCTAGAAATTTGGTAATTGATTTGCAAATTCGTTAAAAAACAAAAGCTCACGCTCGTTTTAGTTGTCACTACTGTCTGGGTTAACCTGTGCAACTTCATTTCAAAGAGAATCTACTGTAACGTATACGAATAGCGGGACAAATTCTGATCTCGCTTATACCAGTGCAAATCAGAGTAATTTCATTGCAATCCGTGGGCAATTGCGTCCTGTGCCGATTTTACTTCGTTCTAATTTTATATATTCCAATGAAATTATTGCCGATTTACACTCCGGGAGAGATAAAGGAGGACTGAGGAGATCATCTGGGTTTCTATTTCAGTATAGGAGATAAGAATTTGCTTTGTTGCCTTACAAGCAGATGTCAATATATGTATCAGTGTATGTGTCCATATATATATACACACACACATATACAACACATATGTGTACATATAATATATCCATATTTATATATACATATACATACATACTCTTAGAAATAAGAGAGAAAATACAAATATATTTGTATATACACTTCTCTAATTAGAGGACTCACACAGGTTACCATGTACATAGTAAATGTCACGTGTTCTATCATACTGCTGGCATCCAACATATAACTTATGGATTAATCAGTCCTTGACACAAAAAACATCTTAAAATTTACAGTAGATTCCTTTTTTTGGTCCCAATCCAGGTTGCTTTGCTACAGACAACAAGCACATAACTAGGAAGACTTCATGCCAAAACAAAAATGAAGGCCACAGTACTTTAAGAAAAGGATACAAACATACCACCAAAACAAAACCACATACCACAAAGGTTGAAAAAATGGTCCACTAAGAGTTAGGTATACAAAATTTCAAATGATAGAAAGGGACAATATCATGGGCATAATGACATAAAAAAATCATATTGCAGAAGGAGGAGAAGAATGGGGAGGTCAGCATCCATCGATTCGTTTCAAGTCTCTCCTACCCAAGGAATTTGGTCCCAGGAGGCCCCAGCTGAAGGATTCGGCTGACCAAGCTTTCTCCCTCATTAAGTGGGGGAGGAGCCGTAGGCAGATGAAGTTTACTGAGTACATCCAAAGCAGCAGTGAAAGAAAGAACATAAATAAACTTTATGTATTTTTTGTGCCAGAACGCCAGTGCCATTGTCTGGTCCACAGAGTGGAATTAGGCTGTACACTGAATAAGGTTCCGTCCTAGCGATCACAATTCGGTGATCAAAATCAGCAAAATTAGCTTCGTTAATTTAGGATCTTTTCTTGCTTACGGGAATACACCGGACCTTTCGGCAGCGAACTCAATGGGAACAGGATTTGGACCTCAGAATGCATCTCTGCAAACAGTACAGTAATTTTCTGATTTCCCTGCCGGTACAACACGTAGAAAAACACTTGTAGGAAGGGCACAAAGATCTGAGAATGATTAAAACTGTTCTATACCCTGGTCTTCCAGGTGAGACGTTCTCATTAGATAGCGAAACCTATCTTTAAAAAGAAAACGGAAGACATACTTAAGGTCAATTCGTGTGCGACAAAGATAATGTGTGTGACTGAATGTGACCGCACAATATTTCTTCTGCTCTTGAGATTTCTTTCTGCTTCTCTTTAAAGAATAAGTGGTACAAAGCATCCGATTAGTCAGCTTGTTTGCCATCACTCGTGACACAGAGGAGGTATCTGTCTGCCAAAAGGAATGGTTGGCTTGCTCTTAGCCTCACATCCGCAGCGTTTCAGAACGGCTCTTGCTTTTTTACCAGATTAGAGCAGCAGTGAAGTAGCCAAAACACGGCTTGCGTACGTTCTCCTTTCACACTCCATATCAAAGCAGCGGGCAGTCAAAAACTACCAATCAACTTTTTTCTCTCCCTAAGGTCAATCTTTTAGAAAAACCACTAACGAAGATAGTGGCTCTGATGACTGCCTGTTATAAAGGCAACCGATTTGCTTCAAAATGGATTTAAACTATTGCTGTTTACAGAGTCACTTTTTCTTACAATTTCTGAATGAAGCTATTTATTGTAACAAAAGGGGTTCCTTCAATCATCCACTTTTGGATGCCACAGTTGAGAGGGAGAACAGTCGGTAAAACAAATAATAATTAAAGAGAAGTGTGGATAACTGCTGCTTTCAGCTGAAAATTGCTCAAACAAGCTGAGCAGGAGACACAGATCTGATCTTTCTACGGGTTTTGCTGCATAGGACAAAAGAAATGGCCCAAAAATTCCAGGGTTGTCCTATTGCTTAATTTAGCAATTTCAACCCCAGAAAAATCAAAGGCACTGTGCTTCCCTGCTAGTCCAAATTACTGATAGCGCAACACAAGTCTCCAAAACAAGCAGCTGAAACTTGTGTTGTATGTGTAGCAGGCTTTACGTTTGGGCTTTAGATCAGTGCTGTGCTATTCATGCTTTATACGTAGAGTATTTAAATATAGTATGAACTGCCCTTTCCCGCTGAAAAGGGGTCTTTTCCCACTACAATATCACAACACCGAGTAACAATTATACCCAAGGAAGCACATTAACCTTAGCGCTACCGGTTAAAATACCCATTTTGAAAGGAAAAGGCGTAAAAGCTTTGGGAATTGTTAACTAACAACTGATTTGTGTTTCACGCGACCGGTCTGTTACCATATGTTACAAACATCTTTTCCTGTTCAAGTCTTGAAAAAAAGGAACCACTTCAGTGCAAACAGACGAAAATAGACCGAACGTTTTCCTTTAGGCCATATGGCACCCCTTACCCAAGGAACTGAGCACCAGAAGGTCCAACTTCAATCAGGCGGCTGGCCAGACCTTCGCCTTCCACCATGGGAGGCATGGTGGCCAGTCTGTGGCGTTTCACCAACCGGCAAGTCACTCGCGTGGGAGCAGTGCATTTCCGCGGAGGGATAATGATTCGTAGTCCATTATGTCTGCAACCTCTCATGGCACCCCCGCGAGCATCCACCATGAAACTAACTAGGAAGCTGAAAAATCAGGGGGAAAAAAATTAGATACACAACATATCGGAATCCCTTTAGTCACGTTCCACATACGTCAACCAACTATGTACCTAAATACAGCTCTTTCTCTAGGTGTACAGTTAGAAAAAGCCTTTCTCCCATGTGAAGTGCCAAATTGTGCTAAGATCGTTTATTAATTAAACTAATTAATCTAAAAGTTCGTGACAGAAAGTCTTACTTTGCAGTGCTGCCGCTGGTAAAAATGGCAGCAGTCACTAACCGATGGGAGCACATGTGTACGTACCTATTAGAGACAAAGTCAAGCGCAACTATCGCTACTCTGTACCTGCAAGCATCTATATTGTAAAGTTGGCACTCTTCACTCTTTAAATACTTTACAAGCAAACACATCTTATTGAAGAGAATTATTTATGTCTCAAGAATATAAAGCCAATTCTGATGTGAGGGGTTGCTGGGTTGGGGTTTTTTTAGGTTATCTATGTAATTTTCTAGTTATTTCATAAACTGTAATTTCTAACAAAAAATGGGTTTGGAATAAAAAAAAAAATCAAATTTCGTTCTGGAGCGTGTAGACACAACTCGTAATACAACAGCGGAGCTAGCACCTACTTATGTAAAAAAACCCAACATGTCATTACTGTTTGAAGACAAATTCTGGATTTTGGTGAAATGAAAATAGCTACAGTCACAGTATAAGAGGTTTATTTATGGATTTTTGTTTTTCTGTGTTACTTTGCACAGGAATACAATGTCCCAGTGGAAAACTTAGAGACGCAGAGAGCCATCTACAGGGAGGCCTCTTCTAGCTCCAGGTAAATTATCTTATTTATTTCTTTTTCTTTAAAAGGGAGAAAAACATTTCATGGAATTTCTTTTATGCTGAACTTTATATAGTTCCATATAGAACCAACAGGTAGATTTTGACAGATATTGGGGAACTTAGAGATGCAGAGAGCCATCTAGCTAGAGAGGGAGGCCTCTTCTAGCTCCAGGTAAATTATCTTATTTATTTCTTTTTCTTTAAAAGGGATAACAACATTTCATGGAATTTCTTTTATGCTGAACTTTATATAGTTCCATATAGAACCAACAGGTAGATTTTGACAGATATTGGGGACATTCTTGGGAAAGGTGTACAACTACTTCAATTGGGTTTTTTACTGGTTTATGACTTGGGATCATGCCCGATGTGGGATGGGAATGTAAGGTTGCTGGAAGTGGAAATAAGAGGAGATGAGACAGAACGGTATCAGGCCTACTTCTAGCCACTAAAATAGAATCATCACATGGGGAGTCGCAGAAATGCTAGTGAAGGACCTGCAATAGAGAAAAGCCCTTATAACATGAGTAACAAATACAGGTATTCTTCCACCGTCCCCTTGACCGTTCTGTGCAACAAACATTGCATCCATTCATTGTCCACACGGCTACAAGTAATTCCACATGCTGTAAAAACACAACACTCGACACACCGTGCAAGTCAGAAAAAATGGATGATGGAAAGGAGCCACAAGCGCCAGTCGGAAGCACACCATGCACCACGGATGCCAGTCTTTCTCACACATGCAGTCTCCTAGTCTACTGCCATTCATATACCTCTAGGTTTTGTTTAGTGTAAAAGTCTGGGTAGTAAAACCATTATCTCATTCCTTAGAGGTTGGTGTTTCTGTGGTTTTAACAAGGGGGAAAAAAAAAAAAAAAGAAAATGAAAACATTTTACAGCTTTGATTCCCTGGGGATTAATTTAGAAAAATGGGTGCTTCCTTCATAAAGTGCATACTTTATACATTGTAAAGCACAGGTGAAAGAAGAGCTTAAGAGATTCTAAACGTTCAATTGTTGCAATAATGCTCTACGGCTTGCATTGCAATTTTCCTTTAACTGCATGAAGTAGTGTTATCAAAGCGGTTCTGAATTAATGTTTCTGAGAATCAGTCCAAGTCTCTATTCTAACGGGTGTGTTAGAGGAAGTTTGTAACACTGAGCGCTGGAAGAAGAGTTTCACGTTTTGATGCTAATACTATGAGCAACAGAAGTACTACCCCCACAATTACGAGAACCTAATGAGTGCACTTACTGAATTAAATTAGCATTCACATTTTTCAGTGTGTAAGCTGTCACGAATACAATTTTTAGGATTCAATTCTTTTCATTATTGACGTAATACTCAAGATTGTGTACTTTAACAACAGGATCACCTTCTTGCACTGTCCGTCACTGAAATATCTGTCTGTCTGATGTCCTCCTCAGCTTATCTCCCCACGTGTCTCAGCAACGCCAAAGCCACTGTTAACTGCTAGAAGCATACATACACACAAAAGGTAAGGGCCCAAATCAAATCATCTCCCTTTTGACCACAATAATGGGTTTTGTTGCTCCTAATACGGTGTTCTTTCTCCATATAGTAATACTTTTCAGACTGACAAGATAAGCGGAGTGCTGAAATGGTAGTGCCTTCTGATAAAGCACGCGTTACACAATTAAGATAACTAGCTTGTGGCGTAGAGCCAATGTAAAAGCTGAAGAAGCAGGAGCAGTCTTTGATTTTGACCACTCGTTACGAACTGGGATCTCGCCTCACACACACACAGTCATAGCCCTGTGTTCCCACACCTGCAAAACTTGGGATCTAAACCAAATCAATTAAAAACAGAGCATGGCATTCGTCTCTAGTAAGCACTTGAGATGCCTTTGCATCTCCAGATAGCTATGTGTGTTCAGGCTTTAAAGGTACAGAATCCCAGACTGGTTTGGGTTGGAAGGGACCTCAAAGCCCATCCAGTTCCACCCCCTGCCATGGGCAGGGACACCCTCCGCTAGCCCAGGTTGCCCAAAGCCCCATCCAACCTGGCCTTGGACACTGCCAGGGAGCCAGGGGCAGCCACAGCTTCTCTGGGCAACCTGTGCCAGGGCCTCAGCACCCTCACAGGGAAGGATTTCTTTCTTTCTAACATCTCAAGTAAAGAATTTCTTTCTAACATCTAAAGTTGCGACTCTTATTTCAGTTTAATTTCACTGAATGTGCCTGGTGGGTCAGAGCAAGGTCTGTGAATCTGTCACAAGGTCTATCGCCCCTCTATCACTGAAACCAACTATTGCTCCAAAGAGTGGAAAAACAGGCAAAGGTAAGTATCATTGGAAGGTGGACACAAAGATAACAACAGCTAGGATAAAAACAGTAGGACATTATTACCATTCACTGTAAACCCAGCTGTTTCTATCATAAAGAAGATCTCAATTATTTAGTAAATACATTATTTACTAAACAACAAGACACAGTCTGGCAAACAGGAGCGTTCATCACAGTATACACCAAAAACCAGACTTGTGCCGTACACTGAAGCAGACCCCTCGGACAAAGTGGGAGATTCCTGCAGGGTTTGGTGACGTCCGGATGAGTCTGAAACCACCCATGGGACTGCGAGCGCCCTTGGACTGCCGGGCAGCAATTGAGGCAAGCACAGAACAGTATGAGGATCGGTGCCGGTTATCACACTAAATAGGGACGGGCCGGCTCACAAAACCAGCTGTATACTACTATGAAATTTCCGGAAAATAAATTTTGGAGAACTAGCCTGAATATAGTGCAAAAGAAAGAAAGGGAAGGGGAAAGTTCCTCAGCACCAGAGCCGTGGCATAAAAGTCTGAAAGGATAGTACGTTGATGCAGGATTTGTAGAGCTGACACAGAATGTAAAAATATATTCTTCTTCACCATACCACCCTGTTTATTTCCCAACCTTTTGCCACGTTCATTTTATCATCCACCCATTTAATCCTATTTCTTTTCTTCTCTTTCTATTTTTTTACATCAGCACATTTCGTGTCATTTTGGATATGCAATAGAGTGAAGCAAATCACTCATAAGAAAGCATTTTCTGAATCATAGCAGCCTCTTTTTCTGCCCATTTGCTACGTAATAGGGCATTTGGATGGTGACATTACTGTTCCAGGACTGCAAAAGCAAGCTTTGCCCTCTGAAAGGTCTGTGTATATCAATATACAAATAATTCATATAAAACTAATGCATGACATAAAGCATGCTTTCTGAAATGTGCATTTAGGAAAGTGAAAAAAACCGTATGACTAATATAAAGGAAATGTAAAATGCAAATTCATTATTTTGTTGCCCACGCACGCACATATTATTTTTCCTCTCCCTCATATTTCTTTTACCAGATGTTGTGAAGTGACAAGACTGAGACAGGAAGAGATTGTACTCAAATGAGTGAACAACACTAGCAGGAATTAAGCCATCACTCTAGGAAGCGGTACCTTTTCATTATAAATTCCCATGGTCAAAAAGAAAATAATACATAATATGAGCTTATGAAGAACTCTAACATCATATATACTCCCTGGAGCATAGGTGCTTCTCTTATTGCATGCAGGGAGACAGTTACCATCCCTGAGAGGTACCCATTCAAATCTTTGCATCGGTCTTCCCTGCTCTGGCTTACAACTAAGCACTACACGATCATCACTAGAAGAAGAGAAGAAAGGAAGTGTCCTAAAAAAATTAGGCTGATAAATGTTCCTTACGTGCTTCTACGATAATTTATAATAATAGTAAAAATTAAAGAAAATGTAAAAGAAAGCAAAATAACCCCCAGGAACTCCATGTAGGTATAAAAGCTATGATTTTCAGAAGGGGTTAAAAATGGCATAATAGGGGAAAGGAAAGCCTTAGCGGGGACTAACTATGGTTAGGAAAAAAAAATGAGGTAAAACCAAGGACAGGGAAAACAATATAAATAGGAGAAAACTTTTGGACAGCTGATAAGTAAGAAAACATTCTCGTGAGCCATTTAAAACAAAGATGGCCAAAACAAGTGAGCCGGTTGATCAAGCCATGTGTCAAAATTACACGTACTTTCCATCAGCAAAAGTCTATTTCAGAACATGTTTTAAATGTCCTTCCTATAATAACTCTACATAGGGGAAGCATCCTTCTTTAGCACTGACTTCGGTTTACCTTGGCAACCCAGGGCAAGAACTTGAAATTTCAATTAAGTGACGATTCAGAAAGCAAAGCAGATTATGGGTTAAAGCAGCAAAGTCAAAACTTGTATGTCAAGGGTGACTAGGGCAACGGCAAGACGATCTTTCTCGGTACTGAGACAGCCCTTGAGTTAGTTCCATTTTCTGCCAGTTTTAAAGGTTCAGTTAGAAACGATGCAAGACACAAACGTGTGACCCTGAGGGTCTTGCAAACTGGATTGATACTGAGCTTTCCTGAGATTTAGCAAGGTGGTAGTCCAATATAATAGCTAAATCAATGAAACAAATGAGGTTTGGAGAAATCATTGCCTTCTCTCTTTTGAGAGAAGAGAAGGGGAAATCAGGATTTTTATTTTTATTTTTAAAGACAAAATAAAGGACAAAAGCAATTATTTTCTAGGAATAAGTTATAGACTGCAGGGGAGTCTATGCATGGTTCTGTTAAACACATGGTTAGCAGTTAGATCAAGCTTCATCCATTCTCCTCTAACTTAGCAATACTTACTCATAAATTAGAGAAGCTATTTCATTCTCTTTAATTCTACAGCATTTAAAAACTACACACTTGCCATATGAAAGGTAACTATATCAAATAACATTGGCTACAGCATCCTCCGGGGGTTGAGGACATATACAAAATGTCCCTAAATCTTTCAGGTTCTTTCCACGCCTTCTACAGAGAGCAAACAACAATGGGTTACCTAACGGCTCCACCTGAACAAAACACAGACAATATCTATGCATTGGATTTATCCACCTTACAATGACAAAAAGGTGTGGCGTACTTTCATGAAATATTTGTATTTCAGACCCGAGCCAGAGTCGTTCCCTTTGCCGAATGAAATTTCGTACGGATTCATATGGAATTAACTTGGTTTTATTCTATATCTATGCTCATTTGAAAGATAATAGCAGGATAAACAAATAAAAGATCGATGTGTCAACACTGGGGCGGGGTGGGGGGGGCGAAAGAAGATGCTTATTGTGTGATTTGCGAAGAATCACTGTTACGTAAATGGCTTTGCAGAAGAGTCACAGTTTCGGGTGGCTGTGAACGCAAGCATGTTGGCACTCAAACGCACTTCTCGTTCTGCAGAATCACGTCCAGAGCCATGCAAACCGAGCAACGGGAAGTGTAGCTCTAGAACAGGCAATAGTTCTTTGAACACACAAACCCAGAATAGGCCAAATCAATACACCACCACCTCCATACGGTCAGTTCGGGTACGATGATGCTTTCAAACTAGCTAGGGCAGGCACACATGCTCTCATCAGGTAGCAGAAACGATAAAAAGCTCTAACTAGAGCACATCCATTGCAGACACGTTTAAGAACTTTTCTGCATACGTTATCTTAATTTTTAAAAGAAACTGGGAAACAAGGAGATAGCAGCATTCAGTGTTAGTCGCACTGTGAAGAAGCAGAAACAAACAATCAGGGTGCTTCAGGCATTGTAAAGTGTTCAGCTGGAGAAGGAAAACTGCTAGAGAGTCTGAAATTAAGAAAAAAGGCCTTGATCCAGCTCCCGCTGAAGTCAACAGCAAGTCATTCAACTACCTCAGCGTGCTTTCCATCAGGCTGCAACTATGCCGTACGTAAACAAGGCAAAATACACATTCCAGGAGGACAAAAAACATGACCCTACACAGGAAATCACTATTGACTTATGTTACGTTGTCTTCACTGCACTGGCCAACTACAGAGAGACTGAGTGATATCACCTAAAAATACGGGTTTGTAGTGTGGGGTTTTTATTTAGCCATTTCATAATTTTGCACAGCTGAATATTTAAGAAGATTTTCCACCTTTCTACGGTTACGTTAAAGGAGATGAAGAGGTATCGTGCCAACGAACAGTTTGCCAAGTGAAGATAATCTCCTTTGGGAAGGTACCGCACAGGCGTCCTGTGCAGGATGCAGCGTGCCAGCGATTCAAGCACCGATTAACCGAGGTCACACAAAAAAATGCATGCGGCACGAGAAATTAAATATACTGGGTCTGCGCTGTTATTTTACTAGTTCCAATATAGTGGCACCATTTGGAAAATGTGGCATAGGGAGTGGCTCCGCAATATTTTTTACGTATACAAGTGCGAAAAAAGGCCCACTGTAATTTAACAGTTGAAACTAAACTTATCTACAATGATTTGTGTTGGATTATTTGGGAGGGGGCTGTGTGTGTTTCCTTCTTTTTAATTAAGCTATACCACCAACAGAGAAAATGTATTGTTAATTAAATCAATGGTTAAAACAATCTAGGGATGTATAAGGAGCTTTGTTAAGATTTTTTTTGCTGTGGACTTATTGTGTGTGCCGTTTGGTTTTTTTTTTTCTAATAGAGGACACAGCAGAGGGGAGAAAGTGGACACTTACACAACTGTGTAAGAAGAGAAATAGGGCCTTGTGTAACTATAACCGCTAGAGTAGATTGTTTTTTCTCTCGGCTAACGTGCGCTATCAAAACACTAAAGCATCCTGAAGTGAAGTAGGAGAGGAGGATAAATAGGGTGGGTGAGAAGTGCAATGTATTAAAGAAAGAAATTATGCAGAAGTTCACCTGCTGTTGTCATGATCAAGACATGGAGAAGAGCATCTGCAATAGAATAGATGATTTAACATCAAAAAGGAAAAGAAAGGGGAAAAAAAAAAGAATGAGTTAAATGAAATACCGAAATAGCGGAAAAATGAAACAGATTTCTAAATTAAATACATGAACGTATACATATATATGCATATTCATTACATGTGGGAAGGTAGGAGTGAGCATGGAAAATAAGCCTACATAAAACATCCTCGGTTACAAATGGTTTCTACTACTACAGCAGTAAAGCTAGAGCGATCTGGTTTCTTTACGTACATTCTTAAACTGGAAGTCAGACACCCAAAACGTACAGTTAGATTCTGAGTAAGTCTTTCAGAACCAGATCAGAGGAAACGCTGCTTGGTTTCGGTATCCCCATCTAAACTTTGGGCCGCGGTATATCAAAGGGTAAGGTATCTAAGGTAATTCCAGGCAGTGTTTCTGATACCACAATAAATCGTAGATTTTCTCTTCCAATTTCCTATCAGTATATTCTGTCCTCCACTTGCTTCCATTTCAACATGTTTCTTGTCCTCCTTTTGTTCTGCACTGCAGAACGACAAATTTCAAGCGTTCGGTTTGACCCGTTCAGGCTCCGAGTCACGTGTCACACGGCCAGTTAGTTTTCTGAGGTTGCTTTTTTATTACATATATCTCCATTGCCATTTTCTTCCACTGACACGAACAGCGATTTGCTATTAGTGAAACGCACCTGCTGGTTTCCCTCATTGTAACTTTCTGAACAAAGGTCATAAAGGCAACCGTAGAATTTGAAATAATTTCAGATTTTAGAAATGACTATCAGCTGGTCGCTGCCAGGTCCTGTTTCCAGGAAATTAATCTCACATTGGGGAAAACAATATTATGGATTCAAAACATAACACTTGAAATATATTTTGTTTACCTTGTTAGCAAGGATCCAGTCTCCTTTTTGGCAGACATGCAGCTAAGAACGATAATTCACATTATTTGTCACAGTTCGAGCTGCCCACTCCCTCAACCTTCTCCCTTTTTCGTTGATGGAAGCAACAACTTCCAGAAAGGTAAATTGATAACATCCCAACTGTTTAATTTTGTGAGATACAAGTACCAATACACTTGGGTCATCTATTCGTCAGCTAGGAACTTCTTCATCAAATTATATAAAAGAAATCAGTATCTTCCATTAAATAGGAATTTTACTGTGAGCAAGTCAGAGCTGGCAAACCTGCAGAGCTGCTACATATCTTGCTCTAGAACACAAAAGCAAGTTAATATCAAAGCACAAACTCAAAGCTCCTTCCTCCCAGTGCCGTGTTCCTGACAACAGGTCGGATTTGCCTCTCATCTACCATACCTGTACGTATTGGTCAGTAAAATTCTTACAAATAGAACCTATACAACTCAACTGCAGAAACTTTTTACACTGTATCACCAGAACCCAAGTATGAAAACAACATCATTCTGCACATAATTTATACTTTAAGATCTTACAGTTAGCCTTGTCTTTCCGATGCACACTTAGCTGCTGTGGGCAATAGAGAGATAAGAATATGACACTGGTAAGTGATGTCTAAATGCTGCGAGTGAAAAGAAATCTTTCAGTTCAGTGGTTTCTTGCTCCCAAATTAATGAAAATATATGTGGTCTTCCAACAACAGGATATAGTGAGGTATGAGATTAAAATTGTGAAACGCATTTGCATTTCTGTAGACATCAGTTGTGTCTCTCGTAACGCTTTAGCAGGAAATTATACACAATATCCCCTAATATTACCAGCAAAGCGATAAAACTCTATCTTATTGGATAGTTAGCACCCAAACTTTCTGGCGTATTCAGAGCTCCTTAGCTTTGCTCAATATGTAAGATCAGATAGTTTGATCAGGAGAAGCAAATCTGATTTGCTGCAAGGAAGTATAAATGCAGGAATTTCTACTTTTTCCTTCGGCCAATGTTTGAAACTATTTGGAACCTGTTGGCCGTGTAAAATGACCAGCAGCTGTTTATGTTGAGATTGTGAGCACCAGAAGAGTGTCACCTCTTAAGACAGAACGATTTTCTTGGTTTCAAAGTGGCTACCAAAGACTGACCGAAGATCTTGCTTTTCTTATCGATGAAATGATCAACACACTGAAACGTCACATTTAAATTTTAAATGGATGGTTAAAACTTTTTCCCCTTCTAAAATTTCAGATATAGAAGTTTTGATTAGCTATGCAAAGGCTGAAATATATGCCTGTGACATTCCGCACCAAGAGAACGGTTCTCTAAAATTTATCCTTTTGCTTGGGGGTGTCAGACTGTGATCCACAGAAACACTTCCCTACCATGAGAGATCAGTAAGAACCCAACGACAATTCGGGGTTAGCCACTGAAGCAGGGCAGGGAGAGAATAGCATCATTTTTTTCTCTCAGATGGCACAGAAAATAAAATTAAGATCATCCGTGCCAAATAAATTACCGTCCAATACTTTGCTAACGTGTTACTTTATAAAAACACGGTCTGAATTCACTACATTTCCAGTGTCTTGGGCAAAATCAAGGCCATATCTTGGCTTAAAGCCACTAACAATATTTATAGAGGATTTCCTTCTCTCACGACAGGTAGGTACCACTTCAGTGCGTGCACCTGAAATGTCAGCAGCGTCGCTAGTTCATAAGAACCTGGTAATAGTGTGTGTCTGTGCACGAAGGGGGGTGGAGGTGACGAGAGGGCTATAAGTGACAAACATATTTGTTCTTGTTCCAGCTAAGCGAATGCAACGATCGTGCACGCAGCACTTCTACAATTGTTTCACTTTTAAAATGAGGTCTTACAAGCGAAACTCTACTAGTCAATGTGTTTTCCTAAAAAAGAGATGTAAACAAGATGCACCCCGACAGTTTAGGATAACTTAACGGCTCAGACAAATCTAAGCCAGATAAAAATGACGTGGTGTGCAGTCTTTTCCAAAGGCTGAGCTGTCATTATTACAGGTTTCTGTATTACCACATTTAGTGGCAAGTTAGCTGGTACGTATAAAAAGAAGAACGTAGTTTGTGTCGTGTTAGTCATTATTTCATACGAGGCTGCAGAGAGCGCTGCTCCTATTAAAATCAGGTATTCTTATCCTACCACTAGCATCTTGGTCATCCAAAAAGATCTAAATATCACTAACATTTTTTAAAAGAAAAACACAAAATGATTGCGCATCCGAGAAATAAATGCCACTCTTCTAGAAAGTATTTAGTTCATCCCTTGCAATCACTGGGAAGACCTACCTTTCTGAAAGTGAAAAATAATACCTCCTTTGGAAAAAGTCTGTAAACTGTTTAGGGTTAGAATAAACCACCAAAACAATTTTAAAGCTCACATATCGACATATATATAAACACATACATACTGTACGCATGAAGTACTTTCATTTAATTTGTTAGGTTTGGAGCTCAAGAAAAGCAAACCCAAACACAGCCAAATACCCTGCTACCAGCTAAGGAACAAACAACCTTCTCGTGTGTGTCACACATCAGCCAATTTGCAGTCGCAGCCATGACAATATTGTTCCTCTTCTAGACCAGGACTGCCTGTCGTTCTGAGTGGGACTCCAGTGCTATTTTTTTGAAAGGTATGCACTGTAAGACTGTTGCAAACTCATTTGAGATTAACAACAACGACGAAAAAAATCTTTCTCCTTGTGGTGTCCAGCCGCGCTGCATACAACACAGCTCCGCAGAAATTAAACGCTTTTTCATGACATCCATTTCTTATGAATTCACCGGCACACGCCTCATCAAATCTGACGGCAGGGCACAAGTGTAGAATTCAGTGTAAAGAATAAAATTGCTTAAAACGCAGTAAGGAAGAGCACTTAAACCAAATGCGCTCACAGATTTCGAGGCCAACCAGGGTAAGCTTTGTGACGCATGAATTTGGCTGGACCTGTCTTACTCCCTTTCAATGAGCCTGCCTAAATGCAAATACTTACAAAGAGTCAGTGGTGAGAATACACGAACATAGTGGCCAAATATGTGTAAAGCACATGATTTTTAGGTTGCTTGTCTAGGATATAGTTCACGTAATTTAAAATCCTTGGTTTCTTTTTTCAGTAATCATGCCAAACACGAGAGTTGGTGCTTACCTAAACTACTTCACTGGCATAGGAATGACTCACCATCTGGACCGATTAGGCCCTTGGTCTCAATAATTACTAACTTTAAAAAGGCACTGTATTTATTTGTCGGTAAAATTCACACAAATGCGTGTGCGTGCGTGTCAATTATCTCGTTCGTTCCTCTTGAGCTTGACTGAAAGCTCAGTGACTTGCAGTGATTTCAGCGGATAGTCTTGGTCCTCAGCCTTGCTTGATTGTCACAGCTTAAGAGATCATAACAATTTATGGACAGCTCTAGGAGACAATGAATTAAAATACCACCCCTAGTTAAGCATTAGTTGAAGCTGCTGCCACTGCAGGTATTCTGTTTCTCTTTTTTTAGTATAATGCTAATTGATACACTCACCCTGAATGAATAGGGCTGGAAGAAAGAGCCACATTGTCCAAGTTTTCAGGGCCCCAGCTTAAGCGATATGAATTCCTTTCAGCTTCTTTGGCCAGAGTTGTTACCTTGGTAAGCAAAAAACCCTCCTTTTTACTACAATAAAATCAGTTAATCAACCAAACAATCAGATGATGTATTTCACATAGTACCGCCTAAAGCGTTTAAACTTTTTTAAAAAAGAAAACAAAGGAGTAATAACAGCGTTAAGATATTAGAAACCCCTCATTGTAACGTTTTGTACTTGCTCAAAGTAACCATATCTTAGTGGTCCCAGTGAAATGAAAGCTGTGATTTACCAAAGTGGCATTTCCTAAATATCTTTTTTTTTAATTTTTTTTTTTTTTATCTACGAGCATGTTTCAGGATAGTCTCTTTGAGGACAACGGCCTCCAGTTCATTAGATCGCCTGAGTATTTAGCCCAGTGGCTGTTAGCATCATTCAGAAATCAGTTAAACTGAAGAAGATTACAAAGACAGTCCCTGTGCTATATTCCCACAGCTTATCCATTTAGTCTGGAATAGAGTTCAGTATTGCACAGCATAATATGCCCTTAAATATCAATGAAAATTAGAGAGATTTGTATCAAAATAACCAAAGCAGCATACACGACATGGTATCATTAGTACAACCTAAACCCTAATCTTTTTATATTTCTGTATTTACCCAAGCGACGAGTGAATTTAAGAGAATTTGCTTACCTGCTGGCTGGGGATTACGACCGTATCGTCGATCATGGCACTGTCCCTCAGGTAGGAGGCATGGCTCAACGTGTGGGACCTGTCTGAACTGAAGGACCGCAGGCTGGTAGGTTGGTAGGATGCCATAGCAATATATCAGCAGTACAGGTGATGTTGTAAAGGTGTCATGATAGATCGAGTGGGAGAATGAAAAAAGCGTGCTATTAGCAATATGATGCAGCTTCCAGGGGGAGTAGATAACAGTCACGGGGAGGGGGGGAAACAGAGCTGTACAAATCTGTGCTATGCTACCTTTCTGACCAGGGGGCCACAAAGTCTTTCGACTGACTTGTTTGCTTCAAAATGCAGAACCTAGAGATTAATCTAGATGACGGTTTATTTTATACTCACAAATACTTTATACTTGGCTTTGTGGCAAGATAATCTCCTTATAATGAAGAGCATGAATTTCTTTTAAGTAAGGCTCTTTGGAGAAGCTCTCTTTCCTGCTTCGTCACACAAGCAAACCGCTATGGAAAACCTGAAGAAACGCTGAAATGACTCTCTCCGAAGCTTTGTTAGGATCTAGTCTCTCCCCTTAAAACCGTAAGTAATTGATATCGTCCCCTGGAAGGTACACGCAGCAAGGTGAACTGTGGCCAGCCGCAAGCTCCTGTGCAAAACAAAATTCCTCCTCTCTATGCCAACAGCATCTTTCGAGAGGCAGTCCAAATGGGAGCACTGTTTTCTTTGTAAGTACACGCAGCTCGACAGAAAACCGGTTGCTGTAGCAATGCGAGATGCAAGGCAGGAAATAAGCTGCTTCCAAGCACTGGCTCAGAATGTAACTGCAGCATCCACCAGCAAAAAGCAAAAAAAAAAAAAAAAACCAACAAAAAACCCCAAAACAAACTGCAAGACACCACAGAAGGACATATTGAGGTAAATGGGGTTTCTGCTACCAAATAGCACTAGCTTTGTCCTTTAAATATTTACTAGCAGCAGTATTAGCACGGTGATTTTTAACAACAGATCAGCCACCTTCAGATGTCGTACGTGCACTCTGTGATGCTGTTCTGTTTCTTGAGGAATATAGTATGTATAACTGAAGGCAGCAGGTTTATTTTCATGGCTTACACATCCATGAGTAGTACTCAAAATGACTAACACGCCGGCTCGGAACAATAGGCCATTTATTCAGATACAAAGTTTTTTAAGGGATAATTATCAGCAGTTAGCAATAAAAAAGTCATGTGTACGTTACGGACACGAGACTCGAGTGCTTTAAATGCAGATCTTGTTGGGAATCATGTTTTACCATCTGAATCAGTGCAGTCAGCCGTTTTTAACAATAGCTACATTCACACAATAATTTTTTGGATCCATTTTTAAAAACAAATGGTTATCTTATTTTTATTAAAACTATATGGCATTGAAGAATAATCAATGCTACTGATCATTGAATTATACCAATGGCCTATTTAGCGTGCTAGATGGATTGTACCAAACCGAAAGCAAAGATAGGTATTACACAAGTATCAGCCTTAGGAAAGTCTTGAGAAAAACCCAAACCCAACAATAAATAATCTCTCTAACATGTCCTGAAATGTCTTTCACCCAGACAAGCGGAAGAGGTGAGACACGTAAGGCTGGTATTATTGGAATTATGCCTTTCTGGAATAAAATTCTGATGCCATTAAAACAACCAACAAAATTTCAATAGGGACAGAAGTTCACCCTAACTGTCTGCATATAACAGTTCAGAAAAAAATTATGAAAGGGAATCTCGACTGCAAAGTATTTTGGTTGAACGTTTTAGTGTGAATTGGGTAGGCAGAGCACACCTCGCTTGTTCACAACAAGAGTACTTCAGGGAATGTTTGTTCTTTGGTTGAAAAACAAGCCGCAGTAGCAGACCCCATTTGCCATCACTATCCTTTATTCATTTCGATCTTTGACACTTTCAGAACTGCTTTGCTGCGCCATGCAATGCTCGTAAGAGGTCCACCATCCAAGTTGTAGGTTCTGCTATTCAGCTAATGTCATGTCCTGGATACGGAATGAAAGGAAGCACGTACTAGGTTTGACTGGTTATCTGTAGGGTGATTTTGTCCATATTCTCCTGCTACTACCACCACTGCAAGTAGCCCAGTACATATCCACTATGGAGTACCTGTATGTAAGCTCCAGTAACTATCCAATACCTTGAGAGTACGGGCTTTATCTACAGGCAAGGTATGCACAAGCATGACCGAGGTCTGTAGTAAATTAGAAGTTTAGAATTAGAATTTCCTGCTACACTTAGTTTCAAAACTAGCGTTCAGATGACGCTGCCCCTCTTCTGTGCGCTGTACCAGCTAAATGTAGAGCAAACCAGCAGGTAAAAGGTCTCTGCTTCTGAGACTTTGAAATGAAGGTACTGAAACGACAGTCCAGTTATGGAAGTGTAGTGGCACTGAACAGAACTTCTTGTTTATTATCGTACTAAGTCTTTGGGAATCCTGCAAAAACCCCACCAATCCAAATCACAGAGACAAAATGGATGTCTAATTACAGATTCTTCCCAAATCTGGTCAATAAATCTTAAGTCACAGGCGTTGTGAGGTCAATAGCACTCTACTCGGCCCCAGAGACTGAACTGTGGAACCCAGGAATGCTACAAAGCTCCTGAACGCAACAGCCTGTCTTGCTCGTGTTAGGTGATGCACGGGCATGTATCACCCACCTCTTCTAAGCCCTGACTAAAGCCCAGGTGGTGTCCAGAAAATATGAGCAGCATCCTCTAGTCAAGTTTCCGGATAACTGGGAGACCCTGTTGCAGCACACATCCACGTGCCAGCCTAGACAGAGCTCCAGCAGTCTCTAGCCTAGCTGAGCGAATCTCCGGTTGTGGGAAGTATATGTCATTTCAGAAGCTGGGAAAAGACCCTGGCATCACTGAAAACTGTATAAATCAGCCTTGAAAAAGTTCCTCTAAAGACTGAAACCGTTCCTCACATCTGTCACAGACCAGAGATGCAGAAGGGACTTACAATGAAAGGGAGTCTTTTCACATCCTGGTGATCCGATATGGCCCGAATCAGTTCTGGCTCTCGCTATTCAGAGGGAGAATCCAGCAAGTGTAGTCTATTCTTTTTATTCTTTTTTTTTTTCCCCTTTAATTCTACCACTGTTTCTGCACACAGAGAAGGAAAAAGGCTAACCTGCCCAGCAGCATGGTGACAGAAGGATAGCCAACAGCTGTTGTCACCTAGCACAACTTCCCCGATCCTTGCTAAAGCATCTGTGCAGCGATCAGGGACGTTTCTGTGGGACGGCGGCTATGTCATACTGCGACCTTTCTGGACAGAGCGCGCTGTTGGATCAGTATTCACCCTACTTATCATAAGCATTTGAGACTATACCTATCTCCAACAGCAGCACCGTTCGTTTGGTTCCCCAAATCAACTTTCTGGCATACAGCAGGCCTCCAAAATGGATGAACAGAGACAAGTGCCACAGAAGGATATAGAGACAACATGTTTTCATGCTGTGTAATACCTACCTGGGCATGGTGCTAATGAAAGCATATGAAAAAGAATGAAGGGGGAGAGAGAAATAAAATAAAGAGGGAAGATGGTTACAAAAGAAAAAGATATGGGTTTAAATCAAATTGTTCAATGCATAAGATTACATGAGTTTAGACTGCTAATACTATTTTGCTTTACTGAATTTCTTGAAAATCCAAAGTCAGTACAATGCAATGAAAATCACATTAAAGCAAAAGCAAAATAATTTAAGCAGTCTCTGTGAAAATTCTTACAACCAGTAACCTGACAGTGACAGAAAATGAGACCGTGGAGTTAGGAAGATGCAGTTTTTTCTTTCATTTCTTTCTCCCTTTATAATTTTGCTTCATTTCAATATAATCATGCTTGAAACAGGATGTGAAATAATTTTCATGCAACATAAAATAGAACACATCAATTACAAGCCAGTGAAATCCATTGACAGTATTTAAAAGCTAAAATATTCTAGAAGGGAGCAGAAACTGGCTTAACACTTGCCTGCACAATAATTTCTACACATCTTAAAATTTTAAAAAAAACCCACAAACCAACAAATTTTGTTACCATTGAAAGCGCGTGACAAAAGGTTTTCATGTTTAAGCATTCTGATGTAGTTCATAAACATCCTCTGAGACTTAAAAAGCCACACAGTCACTTTGTTTTCAGTGGATTCACTGGAGCTGTCTAACACCCAACAAAGACTCCAAAGCTTCTAAGACCTGAATGACGAGGGATTTACACATGCTGTGAGGCAAACCGAACTGTTTCCTGACATCTTTTGTTCCAGGAGCAATTCATAGCCTACTGAAGCAAACAGAATGGATCCTACTGATTTCACTGAGCTTTGGAAACGCTGCCAGAATAAAAATCAAGACTGGAAAATGAGGGAGGTTAAAAATTCCTTCAGTTGCCACCATCTCAATTTACTTTTTTTTTTTTTTTTCTGCTTTACTGAACCCCAATTCTAAAGGCAGTAAATCTGGAGACGTTACTGATTGATGCTACACGTTGCCTTTTTCAAACGGGAATGCCTGGGTAGCCTGTTCTAAACTAGAACTGTGGGTGTGCATCTGCCAGTTTGAGTCTACACTTTACGCTCGCTAGTAAAGGCTCTCATTTTGAAAAGTGGACTCCGTATTTTTTGTAGACTATAGTGACATGCTCTAAAATAAAATTAAAAAAAATAAGAAGGATTAAAGCTACAGATAGTATTATTCCGCAAACACATCTAAGGCTTAAGTTCAACTTGTTGGATATGAGCAAATCAGTAAGTTTTCTGGACTGAACGCGCATTCTTTTTTCTAATTTACAACATAAATACTGTGCTGTGCCAGTAGAAGGAAAATGATTCTCTTTCCTGCTAATTCAACCCTGATGAAACAGAGTCAATGTGCTTCCTGACAATATACTCACTGCCAATCCAACGCGGAATGACCAAGTCCGTTGCTCCTTTCCTTATACCTATAGCCAGCGAACTACTCTAAAAAGTTGGCTCACCTAATCCTAACACACCCTGCCCACTTGTCCGCTCATCCCCGTGACGGGAGGAGATGGGGATGATTCATGAACCCTTTCCATAGACAGCTGGACTCTTCTTCCTTTGCCTGACCACAATGGCAATAAAGCAAGCGATGCCTTTTCAAGAACCAAAAAAGAATCATAAATTCTTCACTAGACTCCAAGTACAGTATTAGTGCCAAACGTATTCATTTCTGGACTGGTCAGGAAATATTCCTCCTGGTCACCCCTTCCTCCTACAAAGTGGCGACTGCCATACATAATAAAGAAACGTTGACAAGTGCATCCCACGTCTCCCTTGAGTTAAAGGCCCTGAGAAAGGGCTTTCAAACATGTGTAACAACGTGTGTGCAGAATTATCATAAGAAAAGGTATGTGTCCAGGCAAATACCTGTCAGATCGTCCTCCTTCCAAGCTGTACCTTAGGTAGTTCATACCATCTAAGAACTGGCTGCTTGGTAAAGAGTCATCTCCTAGTTCTCTGAGGTCTTCTGGCCTGAGGTACTCTCCTCCATCTCCTGTCATCGTGTCGTCACCTTAAAATCAACCACAGAAGGGACAGAGGTAAGCACACACACACGCGTTGGATTTCCTTTACACATTGGGATCTAACAGCCGGATGGCACACTAAACAGGAAGGCATTTTCCACTCGGGAAACACCGCAAACCACAAGCAATTAATGTATTTAATGGAACTGGCACATCAAGCAAGATTTAAAAGAAAAAAAATGAAATCAAGGTGATTAATCAATTAGATTTAATCTCATTTTTGCTGTTTCACATACTTGGTAAGGGGCAAATTTCTTTGCTGATCTCTAAAGCATGGTGTCTCTGTCCCTTTACCCATTTTAGCTCTCTGGTCACAGCTATACTGCATCGCAGCCTGACAGCTGATGATGAAATATAACCATTTACTTGACTGTAAGCTATGTGTTTTCAGCCGAAAAGGTGTTTTCTGTGGCCTTACGCCTGATAGCTGCAAATCCTAATTTAAACTCGCCATTGTCCAAACTCCACATCATATGAGGCTGTCTCACCCATGTTCCAACATCCTTCTGTGATCAGCAAAAAAATTCTGATTTCTCAAACACAGCAGTATCCAGAAACTGGAAATAAGCTCACGTGGTAATGAACATTAATGAGAAAAGTAAATGATAATGAATCAAAGCCTGAACGATCATTGGTTATCTGACATAGTAACCATTTTGCATATACTCCGAATAACAGGGTTTAATTTATTACGTTTTTTAGGTCCAAAATTATTTTCCCCAGGAAATTCTGTCCATATGAAGTCAGCTTGCTTTTCCCCTGCAGACTAACAAAACAGATTACATTGCCAAGCAACATGTCGATGTTTCTTTTCACTCCCATTTGCGACATGGTTTGTCTCCACAGTTTCTGCCTGGAGATTTCAGTCACTTTCCCAACGGTTAATTATCACTTTATCAGCCTGCCAGAGGCTTCGTGTGACCCACAGAACCCACAACACGACCCTAGGCCACCGGTATCTTCCAACTTTCTCATTTTCCAAGCTGCGTGGGCAAACCTGAAGCTCAGTTACATGAAGGAGACTGCAACCGGTCTACAGGAACAGTCGTCGTCAGCGACGCGTTCCATCTGCGGTAATTCACCCCGCTATGCCGAGAAACACCAAGGGTCCTAAAGGTTACGTGAGTGGTATCCGTGCTGGTTCAGACAGAATTCATCTGGGTATCAGGACAATTGCCACTTGGGTGATTTAAAGTCTTAATAAAGCAAAATCGCAAAACCCCCAATTATTGTTACTGCTGGTATTTCTGGTAGAGCATCTCCTCCCCGCCCCCCCGCCAAAAGGTTCTTGGTATTCCAAGCTGTAGGAGTGGTGGTCGCTACAAAGGAAGAAATCTGAATATTTCTTTTCATGAAACAAATCAAGTTAGTTTTTCTAGCTTGATGTTTCAGCTAATAAATAAACAATTTATAATTTGTCATCTAAAAACTAAGTAACATTTGGGGGTTTTAAAGCTGGGGTTTTTTGCGTACGCAAATATTATATGTAAAAATGAGGCCTAAATCTTTTCAGTATAACAACAAAAGCTCTTGAAAATTCCATCTGCCCACATTAAGAGGGAGAAACTGGGCACAGTTTCACAGAAAACAATAAAACGCATTTAATCACTGCATGTTTCCTGTCTTCTGACAGATGATGCCTCCTCTTTCCTGGGAATGTCACATTATAAAGCACAGGGCTTAGTGAAAACTTGGAAGATATTAAGGCAATGCTGTTAATCAAACAGTAAAAGGAATTTCAAGTTATATTTCAAATAAACTAGATACTTATAATCACGCCAGACATTCCGTCTATAATAGAAACAAAGGCAAAACCTTCACCACTTTCATCACACCCACATCCTTTCAAAAAAAAATAAAAAAATCCAAACTCTCCTCTTATTTCAGCTTTGGCCTCTCATCTAAGAGTTGTCAATAATGGGTCTAAGCCACACAAGCTGTTTCATGTGATGTCAACATCTGCAAACAGTAATGAGACTATCCATCTCTATTTCACAGTGTCTTCAGAACATTTATCTGTTGGTAGCACAGCGTAGTTGCTAGCATACTAGTCTTGAGTCAGCAAACTAGAAGTTACAAGTCGCTCCCCGCCAACCCCTTCTGCCCTTCCATCTTTCCTTAATGAGACAAACTCCCAAAACAAGTAGTTCCTCCTAGTATACGAAGCGGAAAAAAAAAATAAATCTATTTATGTCTAAACGATTGTGTAGCAACGTAACATTTCATACAATTGTGGTTACCCGAGTGTCTTAATTCCTGCTTTGCAGGGAAATTGCACGTACGCAAAGGGAATTATTCTGAGTCTGTGTAACGGGCACTCATTCATCCTGCCAGTAATACTGTGCTGTCAGCAAAAGATGTAACACGGCTAAATTGCTGAGTCTCCGTCAATTCAAACGTACACAGACATGTTATCTGCTGAGAAGAAATTACGTATTCAGCTGACCCTGAGCTTCTTTACACAGCAAATCTTACCAGATGGTAGTTCTGCGGCGGTACGAGAAATTCTCCGTTTTAATCATGCTAGAAACGATTCATCTGCCATCAGATTCCCCATCAAATTACCGACGGTAAGGTTTTCGCTACCTACTGAGCAGTTTGTGACAAACGTAGCCCTTGACATTGATGCTCCATGATTTGCAGTGGCCATCTACGAACTTACTTAGTGGATTGCGATGAGTTACCCACTTACTGATTTATTTTCTATTTACTAGAAAGAACACCTTCCTTTCTTCAGTGATACCAACAGACTCTCAGAGGTTTACTTGACAAGGGATAACACGCTACAAAACGCTGGGTGACCTTGTGCTGTGCCCCAGTTAAAGCATCCCTGTTCAGCCTCGGCCTCATCACTGCTACTGCCCATCTTGCAAATATCTCCAAAAATTTTGTCCAAATCTGCATTTCTGAATAATGTCATCTTCTTTAGGGCAGGTTCGAAAGGAAATAAAATGCACTACAAGGAAGTATCAAGTACCAGGACTCTCTTAAAGGAAACACTGGGGGTTTACTGGTAAGGACACTGGAAGAAGTAGTAAAAAAACCCAAACCAACCAACCAACCAACAACCCCAATTAAAATCCCCACATCTAGGAATCTGTTTATATTTAAACAAAAGGTGGCCAATAGCTGAGTCTCTGCACTTGCTGCTGCTATTATTCTTTCTTTGCGGAGTGCAAACAACTCCCAATATGATGGCTAGCTTTTCCAGCGTGATGGTCCCACTGCCCTCTCAGCAATGGTCTGGTTAGTCCCTTAATCTGTTTCCAGTGGCCAAACTAATGCCCGGGAACAAGATGCAAGACACACACCACACCCCCCCAAAAGCATACATTTTGTACGGGTTTGCAACACTTGGGGTTGGCTCTTTTCTCCTCTGAAAGGGGATAGGAAGAAAAAAACCCAAACCAAAACCAGCAAAGGAGAGAGATCACTTGAAGGAAGAAGATGGATACAAAGGGTGGGACTGGCAAGGGGCAGGTCACAGAGGCAGTATAAGCAGGTTCCAGGGCTGTTACTACGAAAAAATGGAGATATGGACCTGCTAAACAAGGTGCTAAACATCTCTATGAGGTGTTGGCCACCTACAGAAACTATTAAATCAAGTGGCCGCTTCTGCAAGACTGAAGACCCAGCACGTGACAGGATTGGATCCAAGAGAGGGAAAGAAAGGATGAAAACAGAATGGAGGCATGAGAGAGAGACAGTAAAGTTAAGAATCAGAATGGGAAAATTAAATAAACTTTAGGATTTAAATACTATGCTTAAGGCAAGGAAGGCCTGATACAGAAACTTATAATGGGCAAGTGAAAACTGCATTGATGGTTCTTAGTAACACTTCACACAAAGCTTTAAATCTTTGTCACAACCAAGCCAACCAAAGGCATGTCTGTTTTAAGCAAAGAGGGACCCGGAGTTCTTTGGCCGGTGAATCCACACATACCAGACTGCAGAGCCGTGCAACCACGCCAGCCCAGAAGCAGCAGAGCTACGGTGACTCCGTGTTGTACCTGAGCAAACAAGTTCTCTCGCAGCAGGGACTATTAAGCCATGCAGCTGACCTGAGCAGGCATCCCCGCACAATTCTGCACCATCACGTGCAACACAGGCGGCACTCGCTGGGGAACGTTTCCACCCTGCCGTTTTCCGCTATAGAGATGCTCCAGAAAAACCAAACGGCTACTTCTCATTGACTCAGAAGACCATGAACCTTTAAGACACTGCTGCCGCAGAAATGGAATTAAAATGGCAGTGGTGGCAGCACTCGGCAGAGCTTCACGGGGCTCTGACGGAGCCTCCCGCAACCACACAGCAAGAAGCACGCAGTTTAGCCTACGAGGAGCAGCCTGCGCTCCACGTATCCAGTGATGGTGCAGGCAAAAAGTGGGCAAGGCACGAACGGGAACCTTCCCTGTGATCTCTTAAAATGCAGCTGCCTGGAGTTTTTTCTAATTGCGTAGACTAGGGAGCAGGAGTAAACTCCATTGCCAGTCCCTGTCAAAGCCACACAGAACTGTTTTCAACTGCTGCGTTAAAATAGAGCCAACCAACGCACAAAAATCCACAACTAATTACCTTTTTGCTCATGGCAGCAGTATTCGTATGATGACTTTTAGTGCTCTGCTCCTCTTTTTTTTTTTTTTTTTGCATTTTATGCTGACCACCTATTATTTCTGTGTACCATGAACCCATAATATCCAAATATAGCAATGGGTCTCAACCCCTAATTTCTAAGACACCTGTCAGCAGGA